TTGGTTGAGGCCAGAATGGGGGAAACTTGGTGCGTGTGTTTAGGTGCGCGTCAGTTGCGTCTGGCAGCCGCGGCGGTCGCCCGTCCCTTTGGGCATGCCTCGAGGCACGTGGGAAAGCTGCTTGCATGCGAGGTCCTACGCTCTGAGCGACCTTTTCTGTGGCGTCAAGAGTTAGGAGGGCGTCGGACAGACAGGACCACTACACCCTCTCCCATTTCCGGTCTTCTCGACTTTGTTTTGACACCGGGTTCAGGTGAAGTAGTGGAAAGGAGAGTGAGGTAGATACTTCGAAAGTCACCATCTTTGCACCACCCTGCTTTCGTGAACACGTTGTATCTCGTCGAAATAGATGGGTAAGCTGTCATATGATAATGCAATAGGGCAAAATATGTGTATTCTGACGACATTTGACCTTCTATTGGAACTATATATTTACGCATTTTTCTAATTCCGGAAGATCTATGTCATTTACTGACAGTTTTTGCCTATACCTTAACAGCATGGCTTTCAAAAAATGCATATCTAGACCGTGAGATTAATTAACAGAAAATTATGTCTCAAAGCCTTATTCGGCTAATCCGATCAGTCCAACTTTTTTGAGTTTCTGCCTCGTCTGTGAGCTTGCGAAGTAAATACCCACATTTTATTTAAAAAAATTACTTCGGAAATGAATTTCGCTGTTAAACTGTGGCAGTGAAAGGAATTGTTGGATTATTTTAGAAAAAATGTTTTAAAGTTTTTGTGCTTGCATCCATTGAAGAGGTGCTTTCCTCTGCGGTTGTCATTTTAAACACCGGTGCTTATTTTATATTCTATAGGCTATGAATGCTGAAATGAACATGTATGATATACAAATAAAAGAGTACAAAGCGGAAATTGAAAAGCTTACTGCAGAACTGAATGACGTCAAGCGGGCCTATTTTGAAAAGAAGAGACTCGAACAGAGTAAAAATAGGAGGCCGGTCAAGGAAACGTTGGTCGCGAATACGAATCCAAAGGCCAATTCCGGGGGACTTGATGGCGCTGAGATGACCTTCAAAGCTTCAGGCGTGAATAATTAATTGCGACTCCTTTTTCCCCGATACCAACTATTACAATGGTTGCACATTTTTCTCCCAACTGTGATGTATGTAATTTACGTGTAAACACAAAAGAACTGAGATTATCATAGCTTCTGTGATTCCGTGGTCGAGGGTCACAGCAAAACTAGCTTTCAAACGGACGAAGGGTGGATAATGTTTTTAATTTAAAATTTAAGGAGTTTTGCTCCTGTTTAAGCGCATAAGTAAATGGTAAAAAGAGTGACTACTGTCTGAGTGGTCAGGCTTGCAAGAACAGTAGCCAGTAATGTCTCAGATATGGTCACATATCGGCGATGCTAGCTATTTCACATGCGATGGTGAGCAACTTACAAGCTTGTCAATTTTATGATAACAAATTGGCTTCCAAGACAAGAAGGACTCAGTTGATTCTGGCAGAGAATGGTGGAAATATAAGGCCTTTGTTTGATCAACAGCCTCTCTTGGTTTTCATGCTGCATCCCTGTCCAACAGATGGCAACGCTCGAGGCCAATGGCTATTGGCTCGAAGAAGTGCACAATTTCAAATACCTCGGAGCGAAGTTGGTGCCGAATGGACAGTGTAAGGATGGCATTGCCTCTCGAATCGATGCAGCTCGTCGAGTTTTCTCAAGCCTTAGAAAGTGCCTATGAACCCAAAGGTTCGCGTGTACTGTGCATCCGTCCGCTCTGTCCTCTATGGCTGTGAATGCTGGGCTATGCGCGTGGAAGATTAAATAAAACTGGACGAATTTGACCACTAATGCTTGAGGTTCATCCTCCAAGTGAAGAATTTTGTCTCAAATGAGACAGCCCGCACTCGTTGCGACCACATCACAAGGATACCCCAGACCATCCAAGAAAGACGACTGAGTTAGTTTAGACACCTTCTTCGCCGTCAACCTCAGGAGCTCAGTGTTACTGTCCTCGATTCGAAACCGTTAACTGATGGGAGACCTCGAAGAGGGAGTCAACTCAAACTCCGGCTCGACTCAGTCCGTCAGGGCATGGAAGTAGTTCTTGGACCTTCGGTATTTGGCCTCCGACGCTGACGAAGAGGATGTATTGAACTGTCCAGGTCTACTGCCAGGGATCGTCACGCGTGGAAAAGTACCATCCGGGAAATCATCGAGGCTGGCTAGATCAGTCATGATTGCAGTCATAACAAGTGCAAGCACAAGAATTGCACTTGTACATATTTATGGTGTTGAAGTAAAATTAACCGTGGTTACAGTCTATGTCCTGACAATGAGTTGCAGAAAGATACTTTCCAGTAGGAAATTCTGACTATTTTCCGGCATTTCTCCACGTTTTACATTCACTGTGTGTAACATTAAAATGTTAGAGGGGGATCAGGCTACTAAATATACTGGGTGGGTTCTGGCCCCCTACTCTGGTAGTATCCTTTCGCATATAGTGAGAACCATCTTTGTCTGTATAAATGCCTAAATTTGACCCCCTAGCCACCCGTTTTTTCCAAGGATGGTTATGCTCGGATCAAACTGGCAAGGCATAGGCCGTAAAACCCGAGCCTGTGGGAAACAATTCACCATCCCCAGCATGCATACCATTGTAAAAAAAAACCCCAAACGTCGTCATTTACGAGCTTGCTTGTCCTGCGATTCTGCGTTAAATGTCATAGCTGTATCACAGAAATTAAGTTAACGCTGAAGATCCTAGTCACCACTGTGATCTTCAGGCCCGTTTCCGTGGGGTAAGAGAAGAGGTTAGACGCCAGGCGGAAGGAATAGTTTATTCTGTAGACGACGTGGAGAAAGATTGAAGGAAGTTGGCAGTCGGATGAGCGTAGGTCGGCACTCGAGCGAGGTAGTGTCCGAAGTGTGTAAGCACGGGAATCGTCATATTAGATCCCGTGGGAGTCTGTCCAAGGAATGATCGTTGACCACAGAAGGTTCTCCCAAATCAGAAGTCAGGTAAGACCTCTTAGGTTGGACTGTGTATTGTAGAAAGAGCTAACAAAAGACTCAGCAGAAAAAAGCTGCTCACAGTAGACAAGCCAGTTGCTGTGTGTGCGCGCCCGTGCGCACAGGATTAGAGCCGACTCTGTCTAGTCCTTTGTTGTCTCAGCCAATCAGGAAAAGGTGCATAAGACGCGAGGCATCGATATAACCGAGAGGCAGACAATGCGGTTGGCTCGGCAAGGAGCGATAGATGGGCAGTCACTGCAAATGCACGGTTGGCGTGCGAAGACACGATGAGTCAGCGATAGTGGCCCCTAGCTCAGGA